AACTATATATGTATATATATGTAAGTCGTAATCGTATAAAATCTATTAAATAAATGGCAGGTGACAATTTTAAGTAAGCATCATGTTGGCTACGCTATCAGTAACAAGGTTCGTAATATTTTACCATTAAAATACAATAGAAAGAAACTGATTGCGATGGACCCTATGGATAGAATTCGAAAACGGTCACATCCGGCCGTCTATAATATGATTTAATATAGAAAAGGCAAGGGTCATTCATAGCGTGACGTGTGCGTTTTTTGAAAGCGTATCTTCGTATAAAGGTGCGGTTGTTGCTTTTGGCGGACAACGAAAACGAGCTTCATTCCAGGAAATCGGACTTATAATCAATACGAGTATTGAGTGGCATTTTCGCACAAAGTCATGCCTGGTTTACTGTCTGGTAAAAACGTGCGTCATATATCCATGAGTGGATCTAGCTTCTTTTCAATCTTCTTCTAAGCTTTTTTTTCTACACCGATGTGATTTCCAATGACAACCCAGTAGAGACACAACAGTTACACCACTGAAAATAACATGTTCAGTTGCTGTTAATTAGTCAAGTATCTATATGCAGGCACGAAAATCGATAGGAGCCTACATAACATGAGTGCCTGCTAATTCTCGTATAGTTCGTTCATGTAGCCGTTCCATACCAGTGACTGTTGCTAGGCGTAGACCTCCACGGTTGTTGCCGAAGATCTATAGCCGTTTTTACTACTATTTCATTTATTATACTAATGAGAACGAATTTATGTAGTTGATATCGTATAATGGTGGACTGAGTAACACGTTGAACCCTGTACGGCAAATGAAAACCTACTTATGGCTGTATTTTAAAGCTGTCACTTTTGCAATCCCATATGTTTTTCAACTACGCTTTTCCAAGTTTGACAACGGTAAACAGTAAAAAAATTCGCTAAATTCGAGAGAAAGCAGTGTTACAATTAACTGTATGATAGCCTGTAATATATAACGCAGCCCCCTTTTTATGTACACTTCGGGAAACTAAAGCTTTTCTATTGTTAACACCTTTTTGCAGAACGAGATTCGGTATGAGTACGTACGTCGGCTGATTTTTAACTATGACTGTTTAATGGATAAATTTTTATTCAAAGTAAGTGATCATGAAAATTTTTTATATTTCTAGTATACAGTATGCTTGCCTTCTGCTTTGTAATATGCAAATATCACCAGATTCGCTTGAGCAATCCTTTGTTCCATCTAAATGAGATACATAATTTCCTATTGCGATGGTTTCTGACGTGCCTGATCGTCATTGATATGTTTCTGTCAGACGACCCAGTTTGGCCCTTCGCGCCTACGTTTGTCTAATAAATAACACGATACATTTTAAAAAAAACGTATGTTAACATGTGACGCAGAACGCTAAAATGTCATACTGGATGACTTAAACCGCCATGTTTCGAGTTTTACGTTCGGTATCGCCGTTAGACATTCTAGCAAACGGCTGGCTCCTGGCACAAGACGAGGTCTATCTATCTATCTATGCCCGGGTTCGAACCTGGACCACAACGTGTCCTTAAGATTAACAGGGCGACCTAAACATACATTAGAAACGCTGGAACTGCACCCCAAAAACAAAAACAGATACCGACAATAAGGGTAAAAACGATTTTAAAGAAGACTTTTGCAACGCCGGAAATTTTGCTCAGAGGGTTATAGGGACAGAAATCCGGAAACTAAACGTTCTTTTCTGCCGGACTTATCCGTCAAATGCTGAAATCCAACGGCGAGCAACGAAAGCAATGATTTCATTACACAACAGAAATAATCTCGTTATTCTTAACACAGTGTAGCTTCATTAGGTGGGAACACGTTTAGGCATCTCAAAGAATTCTTGAAAAAACCTTGCATGTCTAAATCATTAGGACACATGGCGTGTGTACCGGTTTTATGGCTAGTTCAACGTACGCTCGAAACCGGCGGAATCCTGAATCTCTTTATATGTGTCATACTCTGCCTGAGCAAGGAAACATGTACCTGTTATTCCATAGTATGCAAAATAATAGAAAAGCATGATCAATAGGGCTCTTTACGAGAATACAGGTTGACCGGAGGCAATTTGCTTATCGATTTTAAAAGAAAAACGAGAAAAAAACTATCTGGGTCTATGATTATTGGCTCATATTCTCTATACGAATGATGATTGAGATTGTCGCTGACAAAGTTAAGACGTACTCTTTTGCCGTTAAACAGTACGATCGTTGCAAAAGTCGATGAATTTGGAAAATAATAGAACTTGACCTAACATGTTGAACTCAACGACGCAAAATGACCCGATGAAAAATGATTATATCGATAATCGTGAATTGATACCAATCGATGAAATCCATAACTTGCTAGTTACAACGTCAGCAATCTTAAGCATAAACTCGGGCCTTATCTATAGTTAATAGGCCATATCCTTGCGAAGGTGTCCCCAGTGTGAAGGACAAGGGTTATCATTGATAACGAGCTCTCGCGGCGAGTAGAAAAAAAAATTGTACGACGTAGTGTTTCTAGATGTGGAATCAACTGCGATGAAGTTATTTTACATAGATGTTGCAAAGATAAGTATTATACAAAAACGACCTGAACATTTTAAAAAAGACATTTTTCGCCAATTATTCCTATAGCCACTAGGAGCGAGCTGAATACACAGCCCAAAAAACAAAAAAGAACTGAAATAAACATTTTTCAATAGCCCACTTAATTGTCACAACCACCTGAACACCGATTCTTCCCTCTGTGTTTAAAATAGCGAATAATTCAATAAGCAGGACTGAGTTTTCCGACCATCTGTGCCGCCTGACACTTTCGCGAGTGGTACAAAAAACTGTAATTTTTTATGCTAAATTCAGCCATATTGTTTATATGCAGCTGTCATTTTGCGGTACTTGTGAATATTAAATAGGCAGAATTTTCATAGGCTTCTTCTTGTGGCAGCTGTACACAAAGTACAACGCTTTAACGTTTAATGTTGGACAACTAGTTAGTTAAGTGAATGGGAAGTTGTCTTAGTAAATTTAATGAATGTGCAGCGTTCAAAACCAATACTGCTTGAAAAAACCGAGTTAACAGCATCCCATGACTCTCCTACCTTCAGGACATCCGCACCCGCGCCTCAAATGATGACCAGTTCTTCGTTTTCGAGGACGAGATTTTCCAGATTCTATTGGCATTTCAGCGGGAGACGCTTTCAGATAATCTTACTTCGTTGTCGTCTTCCATGATCCTGCCTTCCATTGTACTTGCCGCCCCCTCAGCATTAGGTAAGTAGAATGTATGAAAACTTAACAGAGTGACCCCTCCATTTGGCCGGTTTCATTGCTAATAACATGAATAACAATTAATAACAACGAACACATTCATTTCTAGTACGCATAGAAAAATCTCCGTCAAGAGTTAATTTCCTTATTATAGGAAGTAATAACAATTGGGTTTCCGTACGTGGTTCATTTACGTTGGTAATTTATCGAATATCTCAAATGATACTATCATGCCAAAATTTTCAATATGGCCGGCAATTTTTAATGCAATTGAAACTGTCCGTCCCCATAGCGGTATTGGTTGTTTGTCTTTTCAGTGGCTCCTGTATGCTTCGTTACGTCGTCGATCGCAGACGTGTTCCACATCTTCAGTACACTCGCCAAGCGGTATTTCACCTATTTGACAAGGCTAACGTCGAATACAAATGGAATCGTGAACATTTTCCATGTTTTCCACTCTATTCTCTTATTACTTAAGCCCAAACTCTTGGAATATTTACTGCCCATTACTGTGTAAGTTGCAGAAGAAGTCCAAAAACTTATATATGAACCTGTTATGAATAGTTCCCTTACTTGCTACATAGCTAAATGTACCCTATAGCTAAAATAGAGCCCGTGGTCATAGGCTTTACTGCCCACAGCCTAGTCACAGATTTATATTTACGGGCGTCTAATTTGCCGGCATGCAATTTTTTTTTATCATTTATCATCAGTCATTTAGTCATGCTCCGAATGTAGTAGAGTAATGAGAATTCAGGCTAAAAAATGTATGTTTATTTATTAGTTTTAGTTTGTACGATATTGGATATTTAGTGTCAAATAAACACATGTATGCGATATATGTAGTTTTGTTGCTAACTTTTTTTTAGCATTTATTTAATTGATATTAAGTTTAAACAACTACGCGATTATATATCCGGTAATTCCGATAAAATAAATTAGGTCGCTGCATGACGGAGTGAGTTGTTTCGTAGGCACTACTGGCACAAATCCAAACACAAAAATCATCGTTAAATTATTTTACGATCTTGACCGATTGGAATATCTTTTACCTTTTTTTTCTACTGTTATGAAAAAGAGATGAGTTATTTACGCGCATTGGTGCTACTTTGTGAGGACGTTCCCCTGGCCTAGAGCAGTCTAAGCTTGCCTCCAGCTGCAGGACCCAGTTCCGTTGAAGTTATTACCCATTAAATCTCAATCGACGCTCCCTCTACTCTTGGACAGCCTGGATCTTTATTTACTCGTACTGAATTATCCTATACTTACCGAGAAGTTGAAGGAACGATCCGAATCGTATTATCCGATTATATAATCCGATCTAGACGATGGAATTTGTTATAGAAGTCGCCGTTGGAAATGACCGATTATACAGTGAGGTGTGCGGCATGTTTATTATTTACGAGTTGATCAGATGGATCATTAGAATTTAGCTCAGGATGGCTGCATAAACCATGCACAGGGTTCGAAGCTGAAGGGAAATAGTCATATTTTATGATGTTGCAGAAGCAGTCGCTTTGTTCTTCCTGCTTATTTTTCCGAACTGCTTCTTGTAAGGACTACGTTTGGAACACCACAGGCTACACACTACCTTATGCTAAACTCTCTCTTTCTCTTCCTCTATATAGATATTACTAAATGAATGTTAAATCCTGACGCAAATAAACGTTGACTACCATCTTCAGCATCGTAATAAGCTAATATCTATGATTCTGATGAGTTTCTCCATAGTAATGTACTGGTCACGCCTATCCGTATTATTACGCTCTCTTTGTTTTTCCATTTAGCGAAGAAGAAATGCTGGAGGTGCTCTTATGCGCCTTTGCAGGTCCCTTAGCGGCAGATCAAGTGTTAGTTTTATGGGACGCTATGATCGGTTTTGATTCGACGCTCGTCCTCGCCCTTTTAGCTGTCGGCGTCGTAATTACGCGTCAGAAGACACTTGAAGCGTGCGAGAATCGTTCCCAGTTACGGGTGAGTTTACTCGATTTTCCCTATTTGAACACCACACACAAATGTACCAGAGGCGTTCGTGGAGTACGGATTGATTCTTGACGGCCGCTAAACTTTTTCGTCGTATATTACTCACAACTGCAGTAGCTATATGATAAATGAACTTAATCTCTAATAATATAATTATTTCTCTCTAATTAGATAGGGAAACACGTTGTTTTATAGCAAACTTTGTCATACCGTTAGATTAGAAACTGTCTAAGTTGCTTAGTTAGTCATATACAAACTTTTAGACATCTTAAATAATTCTAAATTTACGACATTTTAGGAGGCTCTGCAAAACCTACGTGATATTCAAGTAATGCCAACGTTGAAATTCGTGTTAGGCCAACTTGAGATGATAGGAAGCCCGTTGAATGCAGTACTGCTCGATTCCACTTAGTTTAAAGATAAGAAATTCTAAGAAAAATCACCGGACTGCCTAGATACAATGTAAGCACATATCTAATGTTAAGAGGAAGTAGCTCAAGGCCCCTATTTTTATCAACTAATTGAATGTCTCGCGAATCGTAAGCGTCGCTGACGGCTTTTAGACATAGACGTAATTCAGAATCAATAGTTTTTCATTAAGATGAACCTGGTATCGTCATAAGTTCCGACTTTCAATTATTTTATCCTTTCACAATTCTTCTTACAAGTATAGCCGTCTTGAGGGTAATGGACAGTATCTAAAGGCCCTGTATGCTTACACACGAATATAGAATAACATATATACTGCGGTATATCAATGGCATACGCCGGAACATTCTTTTCGCATAAATCAGCTTAGCTATTCTTTTTGAGTGAACTAGAAAGTTTAGGCAAAGATAAAGTTCTAACTGTTATTTTTTTAGTGATTTTGATGTTTCTTACTTAATAATGCTTCATTAGTATTATTTCAAACCTATTTTGGCGAGGATAAGGTCATCAACTGACAACCAAGTGCAAGGCTGTAAGCTTAAGTTTAACTAATTAGAACATTCTATTTATGTTTCATGATTTCAGGTATCATGTCCAAAGTGAGACTGTTTCTATTTAGTTGAAATAAGTTTGTGTGTAGTTATGAAAATAAATGGTTATTAAAGGGTTACGAAGGTTAACTAGATTTGTTTTTCTTCACAATAAAACAAAGCGAGTTGAAAATTATATGGTAAGGATATATGTAGGTTCATGTACTTGCATCAAGCTGTAGTCTAAAATGGACTAAGAATCATCAAGTTGCTTTTTGTCCTACTTTGTATATATAAAGACTAATCTCTAGAAGTGGCTAGTAGATACCGATACTTGAACCACATCTCGCCTTGAGAGATTAAAGTTTGTGCTTAAAGCCTCTCTAAAATCAGTCCGGATTCGGGGCTATTGGCTAATATGAGTGTTAGTCTAGTTGTCTTCACCCGTAGGCGGGTTAACTAAAAAGTTCCCTCGCAATCCTTTTTCTCTTATTATAATCCCCCTAAAAGCATTTAGTGTTAGCGATTTTTTTTTTTAATAGCCTTGAATTATTCAGTAAAATAGAGCCGAGTAGCATATAATAAGCCTTGGAAGCAATCTGAATAACAAACGCTTCAAGATGGCTCTGCGTGTTTGCAATGGAAAAGGTGAGCTCTAATAGTATTTATTGAAACATGGTAACCTTTTTTCGATGTCCTAAATATGAAGAGCAACCGAAGGTTCAAAAAGAGTTTGGAAAACAATAGGAATACTTTGAGATTTTTTTATGTTTCCCTCCGCTCTTTTACTGAGTGAACATCGAAATCAATTTAACCAACTAGCAGACGCGATTCTAACAAATAAGATGACGGTAAAACAATTAATTCATTACTGTTTTTCTTTTCGAATTTGTTTTAGCTACTAAAACAATATTGCTATCGGAACCCCGTGCTTAGAACCCAAATTATAGGGTGTCGAAAGTATTACGCAACCTAATCGGGAGCTGTTACAATCTGACAGTCTCATAGATAACTTTTTGTGGAAAGCTGTTTTAAGGAATGTCACCTAATGTCAGAAATAGTACCTTGTATATAAATCTAAATGCAAGAAATTGACCTTGCGTTGGGCCTCATTGTGCCGCGTCGCTCTCGAATCGTATAAAGCAATTTTAAGAATAAATATGTAGGGGTACCTAGTACTGTTTCCGTGAAGGTCCAATGGCGATGTATTTGCTGCTGGCCCTACCCGCAATATAAAGCAACTCACAGGATACTTCAATGGCTCCTGTTTGCGACAAGTCCGCGTACCCATTTTTAACGCGTCTTAAAATCCATCGGTTGCGAATTCTGCCAATATTTCCCAAGGAGGCGAGTGTCGCACGTTCGATGAAGGACCGAAGGCTCATAGAAGCAGGCAGATAGCAAAACATGCAGACGCTCCGTTATCCATCGAATTGCGTAGGCATACTTATGGCGACACAGAGACAGTAGAGCTATTGGCTTTGCCCTTAGCAGCGCTAGTTGTATTGAGCACATGATGCCGGACAACCGTTACCATCAACGCACCATAGGCCTACAGGCCCAAAAGCCCACGATGCGTTTTACTGTTGAATTAGAACACTTCGAGATAAATTTCAATTACTGTTTCGTAAAATCTGTCTGTGTTCGTCTGCTATTGCGTTTTCATTTAATGAATCAAAGGTTAATTTGGCGTTATTTTAATGGACAACATTGTGTAAATTATGTGTAATTGTTGTAAACATCGAGTCTGACTGCTTGCATGTTTCTATGGCATTATTAAGGGAAAGCTGGAACGCGGTAGTCCTAGCTTTGTCGTATGCAGAAGAGGCATAAGAAGCGGCCATAATGCAATGGCTGATGGATTGGTCAAACGGTATAATGTAAGCAAATAGTTCCAGCTCTTCCGCTGAGTTAGTATACTGTTTGTTTGCTCTTGATTGACATCATCTTTCTGCTGTGGGTACTCGGAGTTTCGCTATTGAACATCTATCGGCATCTTCGGCTTTCGTGCGCGAAATGGCGTTGTGGAGTAAGGTGCGCTTTAGGTTATTCGTCGATATTCTTTAAATGTAAATCAGTAAACTTACTTCAACTTTAGCTAAGCTAACAGAGCACGTTTGCAGCGGTATGATGGTTTGTTAAATAAAAAAAATCGACTTATTTACACAACCATTAGCTAAATGAATATATCACAATTACGAAGAGAGAACAGCATGCATCGTTTTAAAGCCCCTGTGTCTTATTGGCACCTATCCTTCGATCACCTATAACAAAAAAATAATATAAGAATATATATATATATATATATATATATATATATATAGAAAAGAAACTTAAGGTAAGGAAAAATCTGCCTGGTAAGCTGGTGGTCGCTGCAATGATTTGTCAATCAAAAAAACTTTAATCAACTTTTGTAGCGATTTTTAACCTAGAAGTTTTTTACCTCTCTGTCATGAGCTATTGGCCAAACTTGAGCTGCACGGTAACCATCTTCTGTGGCCAGAGCCAAATGTTAGTCGGTGACCAGATTCCGCCATTGAACGCTCGGCTACTTCGTTGACAATTTTATAGCCATAATGAACAATTTCTATAGTGTTAAATACAAGGCTACATAAGGCGTCCTAGTTTAGGCTCGTGCATATTAGAAAATCACTGTGGCGTGATACGAGTGGGATTCGGAGCTCGTTTGAAATACGCAAATACAATTATCTTAAACGTACATGTCGTGCACTGTGTAAAAAAATATGCAAGTATGTGGCCAAACGAAAGGAAACAACGTAAGAAGATTTTAGGAAGGAAATAAACTCTAATAATTCTAATTAGTAAGTATCTATCTAATAGTAATTATATAAAAGAAAATATAGTTCTTCTTCGTATATCAAATATACTGCTATTATTATAAAATAATATTTTGTAGATGCGATAAGTACACTTTAAAAAGTAATCAAAGCTTAAAGTGTGTTTCTCCATACAAATAAAAGTGGCGTAAACCGCTTGTTTTTTTTTACGATCAGTAAATAAGCACACAATTAATAGTCATCTATTAAAACGTTTGATTTATTAATTTATAGTGATAATATTTTACCTTTGTAAATATGTTGAGTTCGAAAGGAATGGCCGGTATGAAAAGCCATCAATATACAACGGTGTGGTTAAATTGATCTGCAAAGATCGGCACATGTCTACATATAGCCCGCATGTAAATAAGTTGTTGTTACAAATTATTTGAAATATTTTTTTTTACTGAAAAACATTAGCTAACTTGTGATAAAAAAAAATTAGCAAGTTCAATGCTTTAGGTAAATGGAATTTGCGGTATCTTAGCTATATAATCAAAATTGCTTCATTAAATTTCCCATCGGAGCCTGAAACGACGGTTTTAGGGCATATACACACGCATCGATGTGGTCTTGCGCTGCAAAATGTATTCCTAAAGTAAATTACTTTTATTATAGGAGAACCCAGAAATTTCTTGTGTCCAGCGCATAGTTTATTGCTAAACAAATGCGTCATTAACAATGAACTATTGTAAAGCTAGATAGAGCATATAGTATTGCAACGGAAATGATCCTTTAACGGATCCAAATATTGCTTACAATGTATTCTCATTTAAGTATTAACTTTCGATGGCTTGTACAGGCTACTACTAATCCGGTTCAAACGCAAAATTTTGAATTTCTGTTTAATTGCCGGTACTTTTCTACGGTTTACAAACTAGAATAGGCTAAATAAACTAATTGAGCGTTAGTTTCAATTTTAGGATTATAAAACACACGTAGGAGATAGCGGCTACTTTATCACATTCTCCGCTGTAGTCTGTTGACAAAAGGAACTTTTACTTCTGTGGACGTGCCACACTACTGCGCTGGTCATTTGTTCTATTTCAGCTTATCACTTTCCCTTGCTCACTTTATACCAAAATATAGCCGCCAAATTGGCGGCAATGGTTGACGGGAATGCTTCCTCTGCTACGCCCTTCTTCTATTTCCATATTCCGGCGTCTCTTCCCTTTATTTTCACATTTTTCGTTGATCAACCATGCCCGTCGTTTTTTACCAGCTGAATTTTCCTGATTTATCTACTTGAGCATACTCGTTCGCTTATCGATGTTAGCTGAAAATAGACGAGGCAAATCGTGAGCGGCCAGCGATTCGTTGCCGGTGATGTGTTCTGGCTGACGTGAAAAACGGGCACCTAACGTGAGTTATCGGCAGTGTAGTAAACGTGGCAATAAAAGATGAGGCTGTTGGCAGCAAGCCCGCAATTGCGATGAACCCGATCTCATTGTCGACCCTGCTACTGCTGGTGCTACTGTAAAACATCTACGAAAGAAGATCACGGACATTTGTGTTTGCATCAGCGTTCGCCAAGAAGCCTAAGAAGTTGCTTGGTTCTGATGAGAACAAGGAGCTGAAGATTGAAGTTTATGGGAGGCTGTTACGTATCACTAGGGCGTGAGCTTAGTCGACTATTGACAGGATAAAGTGCCCAAATGAGGTGACTTCTATGGACGATTGAAGCCTAGCACAAGGAGCTATGATTAAGGACGATGTGAGTCGAGCGTCAAGTGTCTTAATCGTCGTACAAATCTTCCAAGGCAGAGTAACTCGTGCCAACGAGCGCAAGGTCACACAAATGTAAACAAGTTTCTCGTGTGGCAAATACTCAATATGTCATGTCTCGGGAAGCGAGCAGATGGAGTTTGACATATTCATGTTTTTATTCCACTCAGCATATATCAGCATATATTTAATATCAGCCTACAGAAACCACTAGGCACTTCAGGGCTCCGTTGCTGAGTACAGGCTCACATATCGCACGAATTAAATAAGGACAGAGTAAAGGAATGAATCCTCATGGATATTCGATTTTTTTTCTAGCAATTCTTATTCATTGTAAGTACGATACGATAATGATAATCTAGTTGTTATTATTGATCCTCTTTTGGCTATTTCTC